CAAATTTGCCCAATTTCTCAAATATCTCGAATACTGTCCTAAAGAAATTATGTATAAAACAAAAATTCATATTGTTAATGATTTTTATAACATCGTTAATTAGTGATTGATAAAAGTGTATTTGTTGTGAAAACACCTAAATCATTTTATCTCTAAATCGGAATCAGAGAACCGTTGGCGTAACATGGCGACCCGCTCATCATCATCAGCTGCTGTATTGAAAACATCCATAAGGGTAACAGTCTTAAGAGCAAACATGACGGGCACTCCTCCGCCAAAAATCAATTTTACATTTGAGGCAGTTAAAAAAAATTGTAAAAAAATGGTTCAGGCCAATCGTTGTAAAAATGAACCAAGAATGATGCTAAACTGGGCAAAACTTATATTTTTAAAGAAAAACAACAAAAATTTCAACTTTTTAACAAATTGAATTTTTTGGCTCTTTAGCGTCATTCTATAACAAATATCTTAACTATTTTCTAAATAACTTTTTTTCAAAAAGATTACCAATTTTAAACAGGACCGAAGATTAACATAGTTTTCATTCCGATACTAATTCTATTAAAACAATGATACCAGTGAATATGGCAACGCTGCTAGTCTATGAAGCCCGTGGTTAAAAGGGTAGCTGCTGTTTAGTTAAATTTGTTAATTCCTGTGTCGAAAAATAGGTAGTTGTTTTTGAAGAGGTGCGAAATTATTGTGATCGTCTTAGTTTGTTGTTGAGGCGTTGTTAGGTTTTTGTTTAATTTAGTTTTTAGTTAATTTATGAAATGAAAAATTCTGGAGGGCAAAAATGCACAGCTGACAAATTTCTATTTTATTTGTTTGCTGCCAGAGTTAGTAAATCCTAGAGAAATACGACATGTGCCAATTAGGGAAAAGAGATTGTCAAGAATTTTGCCCGCTTAAAAAAATGTGTAATATACAGGGTGTTTCTAAATATATGCGACAAAATTCAGGAACTGATTGCTTGTATGAAATTAAGATGCGTCTTTCCTATAATGCAAAGCATCATAATTGTCGCGTCACAAAAACCACTTGCTGCCAAGAGAAAATTTTGATTCAACGGTATTGTATATTTTGTGTTGTAAAAGAGAAAAAATTTACATTTTAAGTTTTAATTTATTTTTTTAATTTAATAATCTATGTGAAAAAAATTTATTTTGATACAGACTTTAAAAAATTGTTATATTAATATACTTATTTAATTGTACTTATATTTGTTGTTCCTTTAATACAATAAATACAATTTACCTATCACCAATTCATCACTTTCCGTATCCATAATCCATATACCTAGGGTCCGATTACAATTAGAAGAACACCGCTATGTCATAACTATTATTTTGAATTTCCAATATACATGGTGTCCCGAAATTAGACGGTCATATTTTAACAGCGTAATCTATATCCTACAAGTATAAGAAATTAAAAATTAAAAAAAAACCGAATTCAAAAACGTGCAGATGCCGTCACCACATCTTAACCAAATTTATATAGGATCACCCCTGAGGTACTCCCTAACTACAAAAAAAAATCATATAAATCGGACAAGGTGGTAAAGCATTATCGCTAAACATACGTAAAAAATGAAGAGTTTGAGGATTTTGTCATGGACTCAATTATTAGATTTTGACCAAATTTATATTGGACCACCCCTGTAGTACCCCCTTTCTAACAAAAAAAGAATCATTAAAATCGGATACCGTGTTAAAGAATTATCGCTGAACATACATTAAAAAAAATTAAAAAAATATTGCGACGAATTGAGAACTTCCCTCCTCCTTTTTTGAACTCGGTTAAAAATAGAAGTAAAAGTTTATATAAACATAGGTCCGAAAACGTTTTGTTTTAGAGATACAGGGTATTACAAGTGAAGTCCAGATGAAACATTTTTTTTAAATATTTTCTAAAATTTCTTTAGTTAAAAAAAAATAAAATTTCTAATTCTACAGACCTACTAATTATTGTTTACACTTTCGAATAAGGTGACATGCTTTTCTCTTGAAAATGGCGCGTCCTAGCGAGATACAACAAATGTAGCTTCATTATACAGAAAATATTGGTTTTCCAAATTTTATAGTCAAAAAATCTGATATATCCAACACATGACTTTCCTATCTAGTTATTATAGGCTTTTTCTGGTTATTTTGTACAATTTATTGCAGTACCTCTATAAATGTTTAGAGGATAAACTAAATATATACATTTTTCACATACATCTACCTCGAAATATTTTTCTATAGTTATTCATTGAAAACGAAAATACTGAAAAATTTAAATTTAGCAATTTTCCTACAATTTTTCCATTACGGTCCATTTTAGAAAAATCATGTATAAAAAAAATTATAGAGATCGATATCGCAAACAACTTTTAGTTCAACAATTTTCATAAAAATCAGAATTTTGCACATTTTGTCAAATTTCTCGAATACGGACCATTTCAGGAAATTTTGACAAAAGGCAAAAATTTTAGATAATAATATTAAAAGTAACTTTTATTTGAACAATTTTCTTCTCCAATTATAAATAACAGATATATTCCATAAAATATAAAAACGGCCTCCCATAAAGTATCCCTCCCAGATGTTCCGACTCTGCCCAAAATCTAATCGGTTCATAAGACGATGGAATAAAGCTTAAGTTTAAAATTTGGTGTTTTTCTGTGTATCGGTTCATGAGTTATGCGACACACAGACACACACAGACACACACAGACACATACACAGACACACACACAGACACACACACAGACACACACATCATCGCGAAAATAGTCAAAACGGATTCAGGGGACCTCAAAACGTAAAAATCCGTCGAAAACTTGAGGTCGAAAAAAATCATGATTCCTATACTTTCCTTATATCTGTATACAGATAGGAAAGTAAAAAGAGGACACGTATTGTGCTACTGCGAAAGTTTATCAAGACTGAGATTCTTTACAGAAGAAAAACCAAGGTCAACTAGCTACGCCGGAGAACTACTTCCTAGTCTATGGAGTCTATTACAAAAAACCAAACTAAACGAGATACTCTAAACAACTATTAAAGGATATCTACAATAGATCTGAAGAGATCGATGTGGCGGAGGCCTAATTAAATCTATTCAATATACTGCCTATAACAAGGCCTTTTAGAATGACTTTATACCTACCCTATTAAAAACAAAATATTTATGAAATACCCTGAATCTAAAATAGCGTCACGTGACACAGGAATTTAAATCTCTTAGTATAAGTCATAGTAACAAAAATTTTCATAGTCTCTTCTAATGTTTTTGAATATACTTTACTTTTTAACTCTTTCTTCTAGGAAACCAGTCTCTCCGATGCGATATGGAGAAAGAGAGACAAACCTCTTCCTGAGCGGGTTTTGACGTGTGCAATCAGAATGGCGAATGCGAACAAATGTTGACTGATGTACTCGTCGACTGCCGGCAGATTGTGACATGTTTTGTGACGCGGTGATTGTTGTTTTTCTTTTACAAATTGCATGCTGCACGCTTCCGCCGTTGAGGGTTCTGCGTCTTCTTTTTTGTTTGAACAGGGCAAAGTGGTAGTTGTTGCGTGAAGGATATCGAATACTGGGTGTTTGAATATTAAAAAAAAAAAAAATTAGGTATACATATACAGGATAACTAAAGTTAATATCAGAAAAGTAAAATCTATTATAAACTGTTTATTTTATACTCCTGGACTAACAATATTTGGAAATAATTAATTTAAGTAAATTTATATAGGGTTTAAATTATGTATTATTGGGTTATGAGTGAATTGTGTGTAGATAGTTTATTAAAAAAAAAAAAAAATAGTATTTGTAGCAAATGACAACATTTTTAAAATTAACAAATATAATATAAAATAAAATTATTATAATACTGTGGCATGGAATATATATGTTAACTCCAAAAAAAATGGATTTTTCTTAACTCCACTAATATAAATATTTTTTTTAAGAATTTTCATTTGATCTAACTATATTAAGTCCAGCACTGCTAGTTAATCTGTTAAAGTCAACTCTATTAAATTTTTGTTTGGTATAATCTTGTTAATGGCTATTTATATAACCAGTTACGAACTGTCTTATTTTGTGTAACAGGTAAATATTTCTGAAACTTTAGTGGTCTTATGTCAAAATAAGATAGTTGCAGAAACTGTAAAGTACCAACAGGAACTATTTCGCTGCCTATGTTGTCACTAAAATGCAACGATACTTTAAAATTCCAAGTGATGATCACTGAAAGTATTCTGGGATTTTTTTGGCTCTCTTTATATCCAGGCACTGGTGGGTGGCATTAACTGATTCACTGGTACTATATAGTTTTTGCCACTCTAGAGTAACAATAAAATGATAGTTCCCTGTTACAGTAACTATTCAAATAGTACTTTGACTATTCTGGAACCTTTTTGCCTCTCTATGTACCGAGCTGCTTTATTTAACCATATTAGTGACGCTGGTGGGTGGCAGTAACTGATTTACTGGTACTATATAGTTTGAGTGTTTATACTTTCAATAAATAGTATCGGTGTGATAACAGTTACGTAAAAAAACCATAAAAGTAGCCATACATAATAAAGTAGCAATATTAGTACCAGGATGTATCCCAGGAAGAAAGGCTTCGTAGGAAAACCTAAACCAAAAGGATGTGGTACCCTGGGTATTACTTGCGCTTATATTGAAATTCCTTCAGCATATAGCGAGCCAATAACTATAGAAATATTAAAATATAAAGATATTCTTGATCTATCATTTATTGAACCAATCTATAATGAATTTTACAATACAATAAAATCACAGTTAAACCAGCACACCACAATATGTGAGTGCCAGTGATGCAAATATTGATGAATAAATGTCTTATCAATTTATTCATTACATTTGTTTGAATAAGGCTCAACATTGATTTCAAAAATAAAGGATTTGGTCAACGACTGGTTAAAGTTGTACACAGATTTTAATTGTTACATCTAAAGTATTATATAATAAAGTATTTAATGATCACTTCTTCACATGTGAGTTGGGGTTTTGCTTGTGCGCTACTCTTATGATCCAGAGGTATGCTTCGGCGAGCTTGGTGTTTTTGGTGAACTCGTCCACCCTCACAAGGGCAAATGTTATCTCTTTCCAGTTTTTGAGATTAGTATCATGGTTTTTAGCCATTTCAACGTCAAGTAATCCTAGCACGTTAATGATAATGATAATTTTACAAAAGTACATCCAAGGCCTGAATGTTGGTAACTTGGTTTTGCTGCAGGAAGCTTTCAGCTTTCCCATCAGTGTCTTTTTGACAAGCATGTAATTTTCGGTAGTTATCTTAACATAAGGGTTATTCGTGTCTATTATAAACACTTTTAGGTGGCTCGTGGCTGCATCCTTGTGGCTTGTTCCAGACATAACTTTGAGAACCTGTCTCAATTTTTCCCTTTACGATGTGTTTTTTCGGAAGGAATGTGATATCGCGGCCTTTTCTTTTCCCTGGTTGTGTTTTGTTTCTGGCCTTTTGTGGAGGCAGAATGTGTCGTAAGTTGTCGCTTTAAACGATTCCTTAACCACAATAATTTCTTATTTGAATGTTCTTATGTTTTATTATTTATGCTTATTTGAATCAGTTTTTATAACAAAATACAATACAGGCAACGCTACCAAATTGTTTTAACACATTTTGGCCTCAAAAATACCGATACCTAAATCTCCAAATTATATCTCCAGACTATTAAATATATTCCATATTTAAAAATATATCATTTAAAGAAAAACAGAGTTACTGAATCAATATGATTAAGATTGAAGTGTGGTTTAAAAAATTATAAAATACAAATCGTTTATTTTAAGCGGCAATTCTCTTAATTTATTTATAAAAACTGTGTATTATTAATTTATTCTACTAATTCAATATAAAACTCTTTATTTTTATTTTTAATTGCACACCAATATAAAAAAATTAAAAATATATTTTTTTAAAAGTAATTACAATAGAGTTCGTATTCAAACTCTTGAAATTAAAAGTTAAAAGCAAAATTCTTCCAAACTTCTTTCTTTTGTGTTTATTTCCCTTCTTAAGTTAACTGTTTACACAAGTTAATATAATGATCCAGCTGTAGTTCTCCTGACTGACGTACTTGAATTTGTAATCCTATCCAAAAGAATACTTTCATGGAAAATGTCGAAGTAACGTTTCGTGTTCTTAACAGAAGAACCCCTTATTCAGATGTTTGCCCTAGAAATGTCAACTGAAAGGTAACAGTTTTACTTAGTTTTAAAATTAAATTCAGTCTTTTATATAAAGACGACAGGTTCGTTTAAAGAGGAAAATATTTACGTAGAAATCCTTTTTTTTGTAAATAATTTTAATTAAAAAATGTTAATAAAGATTTCGCGATAGCCAAATGCATAATACTTTTTTTAACATGTTCGAATGCACCTAATCAAAATTACTTAGCATTTTTATAATAATCTAATTTACAACCAAATTTTAAATCTAGATTTTACTTGTATTCAATACCAGTTATTAACATATTCTGTAGTTTTCAATATTGTGGCTCTTAGCACTAATTCTGCACTTTTGCAAGCTCAAAAGGTTTGACCCTTTTGAGTCTGCGCACTATATCCTGGTATTTTAATATTTATGTATTTGTGGAGCATCTTCTCATGTCTCTTGTCAATTTTTTAAATTTCTCCTGGAATTGATGTAACTTGGAGTTCTCGATGAAGGAGCATTAACTATGTTCCTGAGAATTTGGTTTGAACTATTTCTAGGCAATTGTAATTGCTTTTTCTGGTACACACCCACAATTGTAGGCCATATGTCCATACTGGCATTAGAACTTGTTTATAAATGAGGATTTTATTTTAAGTGGAAAGTGAAGAGTACCTTGCTCTTAATCAATACATATTTCTTTTATATGAAGGCAACAGATTGGTTTAAAGAGTAAAATATTCACGTAGAAATTATTTTTACGTTTTCGTGACTGAAGGGTAACCAACAGGACCCTATTAAGCCTCCGCTGTCTGTCCATCCATCTGTCTCTAATCGGGTTGTATCTCATAATTCGTAATAGCTAGACAGTTGAAATTTTCAAAGAATATGTATTTCTTTTGCCGCTATAACAACAAATAATAAAAATAGTTATAATTTAAAAAAATAATTGGGACTCCCCTAGTAGACATGTTTTTTTGCTTTTTTTGCTCAATCTTAATAAAGTATTTAAAAAGAACCTACATAGCTTAAGTCTTGTACGATGGTGCGGAAACCTTCATACGCGAGTCCGACTTGCACTTGACCGGTTTTTGTGTAAATAATTTTAATTAGAACAAAATGAAAAAAAAATCAGAATTACATAATTAAAACGTCTATATTATTGTTAAACATTTTCTTATTACATAACAAAACAAATCTAAAAAATATAAAATATAAAAAAACAATAGCCATCTTACTGGATTTTAATATAAATTGCAGGAGTGAAAAAATAGGTTTTGACTTGCTTCAAAAAATTTTTTTTGCCTACGACTACTTAGAAAAGTGACACCTACTTTTTACCCGTGTGTGAATATGAATATAATGTCCGCATAAGTTGTCAAATATGTCAGACGTCCAATTTCTATTTTGATTTATGTAATGTCCATTTAAATAGTAAAATCGACTTGATGATTAAATTGTTAACATAAATTTTTACTTTCCTATTTGTATACAGTGTATACAGTTGGAACCGTTATTCTTTATTTTGACACATTCACCTCTACTCAAATGTAATTTGTCGTTTATGCCTTGTGTCAAAAGTTCGTATATCATTTGATTTGAATCTGTCAACGAATTAAGTTGATTTTAATTTTTTAATTATCTTGGACATCCGATGTACTAATTGATTTTTAATATTCTTATTGGCCGTCTGATTTTATGAGGTAAGGTTTAATACTATTATATTATTAAAAATATATATTTTGTACAAAGATTTCTTAATTAAATTGTCAAATATTGTACATAACCTCAATATAAACAATGGATATCACATGTTCGTTTTATATTAATTTATATAGTATTTGTTTGGAATAAGATACTATGCTTTACTAGGTTTAAATATGTTAAATAAGATTTTTCGTTTTCATATTAATTTTAGTCTCTGTGAAATTATTCACTTAATAGTTTTAAATTGTTCATTTATTGGTTAAAAGCATTTTATCGAAATCCTGTTCCAATTTCCTATATCCTGTCTTAACATTTTAACCTTTTCTTTTTAGCATTGGCTATATTTAGACGGTTCATGCTTTATGGAGATTTATATATTATGGATATTTATGTTTATAGAGTTTTGTATCTAAACGGTTTATTGGAATTTATATCTAGAAGTTTTATGGTTTTTATACCTAAGAGTTTGGTGCAATCTGAAAAACCGAGGTTTGGTTCACCTATAGAAGATCGACACAACATCGTTCAAGTCCAGAATTAAGAATAAGGATCCCGAATTCCATGCAAATCACTCCTTATATTACTATCTCCTATTAACAACAGATTAATGTTTTTTTTTTTAAATAAATCATCTAAATTTGAATTTAGTAAAACTACTTATGTGAATTAGAATTAGCTGCTGCCTTATCTAAAGTTTGGATTAAATATAATTTGTTAGTGGTTAGTGATTTTCTATATTTCTATCACTAATCTAAAGTCAAATATATTAGGTTTTAAATATAGTGGTGCCCAACTTCTTTTTCAAGGTAATTCGAGTTATTTAATAACCTGACCCACGACCAAAATCACTAGAGCTTAGACACACTATACTAAATAGATAAAATATCAAGTATCATGTTACAACAGATATAAGGAAAGTATAGGAATCATGATTTTTTTCGACCTCGAGTTTTCGACGGATTTTTACGTTTTGAGGACCCCTGAATCCGTTTTGACTATTTTCGCGATGATGTATGTGTGTGTCTCTGTGTGTGCGCGTCTGTGTGTGTGCGTCTGTGTGTGTGCATCTGTGTGTGTGTGTGCGTCTGTGTGTGTGTGTGTGTGCGTCTGTGTGTGTGTGCGTCTGTGAGTGCACGCGTATGTGTGTGTGTGAGTGCACGCGTATGTGTGTGTGTGTGTGAGTGTGTGTGTGTGTGTGTGTGTGTGTGTGTGTGTGTGTGTGTGTGTGTGTGTGTGTGTGTGTGTGTGTGTGTGTGTGTGTGTGTGTGTGTGTGTGTATGTGTGTGTGTATTCCAGCGTCCCATGAACTGATTAGATTTTGGACAGAGTCGGAACATCTGGGGGGGTACTTTATAGGTGGTGATTTTTATATTTTATAGAATATATCTGTTATTTACGTATGAAAAAGGAAATTCTTTGATTAAAAGTTATTCGTTACTAATATTATTATCTTTAATTTTTGTAACATACAAAATTTTCCTAAAATGGTCCGTATTCGAGAAATTTGACAAAATGTTAAAAAATTATTTTTTATAAAAATTGATTAAATAAAAGTTATTTGTAATATAATTCTTCATAATTTTTATATTTTACATGATTTCTCTAAAATGAACCGTATTCGAGATATTTGAGAAAATGTGTAAATTTCGAATTTTGAAGAAAACTTAAAAACGGATAAAGAAAAAAACATTAAATTTTAAAGTTTTATTTTGGCCTGACGTAAAATAATTGGATTTTGGACCAAGTCGGAATATCTAGGGGGGTACATTATGGGAGGCCGTTTTTATATTTTATGGAATTATCTGTTATTTATGTTTGAAGAAGAAAATTGTCCAAATAAAAGTTACTTCTAATACTATCTATAGTTTTTGCTTTATGTCAAAATTTCCATATTCGAGAAATTTGACTAAATGTGCAAAATTCTGATTTTTATGAAAATTGTTGAACTAAAAGTTGTTTGCGATATCGATCTCTATAATTTTTGTTTATACATGATTTTTCTAAAATGGACCGTAATGGAAAAATTGTGGGAAATGTGCTAAATTTAAATTTTTCAGTATATTCGTTTTCAATGAATATCTATAGAAAAATGTTGTAGATGTATGTGGGAAATGTATATATTTGGTTTATCCTCTAAACATTTATAGAGGTGCTGCAATAGGTTGTACACAATGACCGGAAAAAGCCTATAATAATTAGATAGGAAAGTCATGTGTTGGACACATATTTTTAAATATAGAGCTTGGATTTTTCTTTTTAACAAATTATTAAAATAATTTTAAAGCATATTATTTTTGGTTTTTCCTGGTTCATGTATACATTTAATTAGTCAAATGACAACCGTGATAGCAAAGTTCTTAGTGTGTATAATTTTTTTAACATGGCATTTCGCGACCATTTCGTGACGCTGGTTCAATTCCTGATGAATTTTCTTTTTTTATTTTTTTATTTATTTAAAATACCTATTATTTATCATATTAACCGCCACAAT